ATATTTTTCATTTTAATAAAGTACCGCAGGAACATCTATTAATATTACAGACTTCACAAGATTAAATACTTACACAAAAATTATAAAGAAATACCAAAGAGAGATTTTTCTCATTCCATCTGAGCAATATTTATTATACTAATATTTTACTCACGTCTCCGTTTCTCGTATTTATCTTAAGTCCGTTTGAACTTAACGATTTTCATCGAGGACTGTCATAACTTTATATTCCATTGCGAATAGCGTTGTGTCATTGGAATCTCAATAAAAATTGCTCCAAGTAAGCGGGAGAGGAGAATGGAATGCGCCTAAGTGAGACCTACATTCTCAAGAGCGCTTGCGAGTAATCAGTTTCACCTTGAACTTGATCTTGAGCAAACGCTCCTAAGGTTCAGATTCCGCAGTCAAAGCAAGAGATGTGCAGTGAACCACCAATCGAATTTCCGTAACTTATAGTGCATGCGATTGAACAGAAAGGAAAGGAAATTCCTCTTGTATGTTTAAGAAATTTGCGCTGGTTTTGGTTGTGATTGTGAGAGCAGAACACAAGAATTTGAAGCGGCTTAAGAGTGTTCTTTTGCATCTGTGTGTAGCATTTTGCAACCCAGAAATACTTTAGAGATATTCACTCAACTTCAGTGTCGTAGAAACTATTAGTATCTTATCCCCACTTCGATTAACTTCGCTTTTGTGAAAGCCTTAGGTCCTTAACCCTAGTTTGTAGAAAAAATCTGCGGTATTCCTAGTACTGATTGGCAGATTGCCAAGCAAAGCTTATTTCTTGAGTGGCGGTGCGAAAGTGGGCGACTACAATTGGGAGGCCTTATCATTATTTGTGTGACCTAATTGAAATGCTATCTCGATATTTTTGCACCCTTAATAGATTTAGATGTTGTTACTGGGCGAATCGGATATCGAGAGAGTCTTCGTAAATTGTGGAGTTCGTTGACCTGTAACCGATATTATTTGGTACATGTCCATTGTTTTATATATACAAAACCTTTTATAATTATGAGGCTGAACAGATTTTTCTTTCTTTATTCTAATGCGTAATTCTAAGACATTGATAAGAAAGTAGATTAGATTAATAATCACAAGATATACAGCCTACGATTATGTTTACAACATTATTTTGATTTGACATGCAATCATATAACCTTGATTATAATAACGATGTATGTATCATCATTTCAATGACTTAGGTTGTGTAGCTTGCACCCGTAACTGTTCAACGAAATTACTCAACTTGTTTCATACCGTGACAGGGTCCACCACGGATGGGGCCAATGGGTCCGGAGTCGCGGAGAACCTAACGGGTAACCGGGGCTCCGGCTCGAAGCGCAGGCGAAGGAACGCAGTGGTCTTAGTCAGTAAGAGTCTGACACTCCCTCTCGCCCCGCCCGGGCGGGAGAAGTCATTCTATGATTTTCCCCCTTAAAAAAGGATCCCACAACAATAGACTTTAACTGACGTCCGAAGAAGAGAGACGCGTGCTAATAGTTCTTATTAACATAAAATCACGCCATTTATCGCCAAAGGGGTAGGCTGAAGTCCACATTACGGCACTTACAAAGTCCACCCACTTTCACTATTTATGTTATCAGTCCCATGTAGGAGTTTTTATTATAGTAAAAAATATAATGACTAAGAAAGTTTCTTCGTCCCATCTCAGTACAATGCCTCTAAATGACTAATACTCGTAACTAATTGACAACATCTGGAGATATCTACGAAATTACAATGTCCTTGTAAACGAATTGATTCGGCTATGCTTATCTTGCCTTCTCCACACTAAATAATTATTGATTGACCTTGTGTGCCGGTGTCTTTTGTTTTAATCTGTTCGGTCACAGCGTTAATTGTTTTTTTATTTGTTCCGAAAACGAGGATGTGTACAATTAGACATGTTTACAGCTGTGAATAATGGGAGTTCGTTTGTAGATAGATTCGTACCTATTGGTCCGTTGATCATATTTTGTAAGTCTTGTTCAAGATTGTCTCGTTGGCCGAGTGGTCGCAAGTTGCCGGGCAAGGGGACTCGGGTTCGATTACCAGGTCGGAAAATACTGAAATTTAAAAAAAATCTTTGGTGGTAGCACGGAGTTTGAAAATGTGCCCGGTATATGGCAATAGGCTCACCTATTACATGAGACTCATAAAATAAATAGTGAAGAGTGGGTGTTACATTGTACAGTGGCATTAAGTACCGTAATGATCACCTCTGCGTACCCCTTCGAAGACAGAGAGGAGTGATGTTAATGTTAATTTCTTTTGTTAGTTATATAAATCTGTTTTTCTCTGAATTTTTCTTTCTGGATAATACGACACCTATCTTCTTCCAAGTCGTATAATTGGAGAACTTACTTCTAGCCTTATCACTACATAGTATAAAACAAAGTCGCTTTCTCTGTCCAATGCGGTTTTTAATAGATAGAGTGATTCTTAAGAAAGGTTTATATGTATAATACGTGCATATTGCACCCGTGCCGGAGTGGGTCGCTGGTATTTGATTAAACTTACTGGAACTTTACTATAGACAATCTTACAGAATACATCACAGCAAATTAATCCTTTAATAGTCTTTGTATATTTTACCAGCCTCACTTCTAGCCTACGCTTAGAAAAGTACCAATACCCTACTCAGTACTATAATATTAGTGTTTTGTAACTCAAAAAGTATCTATTTGCAGTTAATTCACGCGTTTGCTTTCCAAAATGAGTTTTTCACTTCATTTGTTCCAGTAATGAGTATTTGTAAGCCTGCTCCAATGCAATAGTCTAACAGTGTAGGCCTAAATTACCTAGTTAAAGTCACTGTAATCGGATTAACTATGTCCAAATGGTTACACATAGCGGTTAATTTGGGTATCCATTTGGACTGCTTAAAATTACTGACCTGTTTGGTGCCGTTGGAATTAGATGCACATTTGGGTGCGAAGGTTTGCACTGCATTAGCATTGACGTTTGCTTAATGTTTCCTCTAAGTAGGTGATGGATTTTAATTACATTTTACTACATAAAAGTACTGTTACACATCTATCTAAAATAGCATTATATTTTAGTAATAGTAAGTAAGTTTTAGTATTAGTAGTAGGCCTAATTACCTCCTAGTTTCCCGAATCCCCGAATCCTCCACAATCCTCGAATTCCCGATACCCAAAAGGCCGGTAATGCACTTGTAACGCCTTGCTGTTTTGGGTGTTCATGGGCGGCGCCGATTACTTACCATCGGGTGATCCGTCTGCTCGTTTACCGGCTTATGCTATAAAAAATTATGCTAAAAGGCGTTCTATTGAGCATGCTCAGAAAGTTCAAATTCGAACGCTTAGTTGTCGATTTGCAAACACGTCCGAAATAAGCGTGCTCATTTTGAGTACCGATACAACACACATGCTACTAAGTGACCACTGTAATAATAGAATCATGCTTTATTGCTTGTAATTAGCATGTGTAGCACCTTTAGTAAAGAAATGTTCGTTATTTATTCGATATGCACCAGTTGAAGCAAACAATGTTTTTATAATAACTATCGTGAGACATATTAAATTAACTAAAACTCGCGATTTACTCACGTGAATATACTGAGAAAAGCTCTACTAGTTTCGAACCACAGAGGGGTTCTTCCTCATGAGCAGCGTGCGCGGTCGCGGCGGTGTCGCGCAGCCTACTGCTACACTGCTACTGCAACTAGAGCAAATAATGTTGATGAAAAGTAGTGTTACATTTAATATGCACTCTTCCGTCTAATTCTTTGGGGACTAAAAGGTATGACGCTATATGTCTTGGAAAAGAAACGATAAATTTAATGTTAATCTAATAGAATAAATTATGATCTAGATTTAAAAATAAAACACTGTTCATCTCAGGACAGTTCTAAAGTAGCAGTTTTTAATTATGATAGTAATTAATACACTTAGGATAATTTATGCACTGGTATCAGATGCTGAAATTAGCGTTGATATGTGTGGCATAAGTGGTTATAAAATGAAACTTATTTATCTAGCAAGTTACTCAGTGCTCGATGGAATATTAAATTTAGATTTCTGTGTACGAATTTGCGATAGAAATGTTACGATTAAAATCATATTTAATATTAATTAATAACGGTTTACTGCCTGCGCGAAGTTACCATGTCCGTGTACACTGCTCACGAGGAAGAGTCCCTCTGTGACTCGAAACTAGTAGAGCTTTTCTTTACTACAATTAATTGTTCTTTTTAGTTCATTCAGTACACCTTCACGATAGTCATTATGAAACTTCATCTGCTTATTCTAAGAAGAAACCAGACAGAAATATGTATATTTTTTTATAGCTACGTACCATGTTATAGAAGTCATAACCATGTGTAAAAACTAATACTAACCAATAGCACATAACACTAGAGAAATGATGCGAAGTAATAATACAAATTACAATGAACAAGTGAGACATGTGACTGATAATGTAACCATGAACTGGATTGAATCAATCTCAATCAGCCCGTGACGTAGGGTGCGGTCACGCGCCGTTTAGTTGAACTCCTTTGTAGTTCTGACACCCTGGTAATCTATAGCGTCGCAGTAGTTCTTTAGGAGGAGGTTTTGTTGGAATTACAAGTTGTACACTTTGAAACGAACGCCTATCTTCACTGACAGATAGACAGACGGACGCTCAATTCAATTTTTGACGTTTCAAAAGTTTCTAATCAAGGACAAATTAAAATAAATGCTTTGAGTTTGACTTTAGTACCTTGATTTTGAGTCTTATGATATTAGTATCTTACTAGCGACCCGCCCCGGCTTCTCACGGATGCAATATGTATGTATAACATATATAAACCTTTCTTAAGAATTACTCTATGTATAAAAAAAAACCGCATCCAAATCCGTTGCGTAGTTTTATAGATCTACGCATACACAGGGACAGATAGACGGAGGATAGCGACTTTGTTTTATACTATGTAGTGATGTAGTGCCTGTTACAAGAATTCTAAATTAATGTTAATTTTGTCTTTGTTTCAGGGTGAGTGCACCACGTGCTGCTTATAGCAGACTCTTTTGTCATCAAACAGGTAAAAATTTAAATAACGGGATACTGAGAATATTTTATTAAAGTATTTTCTTATCACATTCGTCTGCATGTACTTAATAATACGAACAAAACCAAATAAATTAACAACATGTTAAAGGAAACTGATAACGTTTCAACTGGTATTCGTTTTCCTTGAAACGTGACCAAATATTTCTGTGACACGTATGATATGAAAACTATATCCGATAACCTTAACAAACGTAGATTGTTTTGACGAGATCCCCGTCCAATACCGCCCACGTGGATACCCGAAATATTTTGTTACCAGGAACTTTAGGGCAATTAATAGGCACGGTAAATGTCAGAGATAGAAAATAATTGAAACGTCGACACGAGTAATTAAAAAAAATATATTGTTGTCAAAAAGTGTTGATAAGTATTTAGAAGGCTAACATTAAAGGCCATGAAAACATCACTAAAACATATTTAAACTGTCAAACACCAAGCGGTCACCGGTGACCGCAACCTATTGTTCTATAATTGTGTCTATAATGACGGTACTCGACGAGTTAAACAGTTTTTATCATATTTGTATTGTAACTTTCGTGAGACATACTAAATAAACTATTATGTTTTCGGCTTACTCACGTACTGCTACTAATGAGTAGCAGCGCGACAGTCGTCGCGTCGCGGGTCGCGAAATGCTGCTCATGAATATGAGCCTCTAGCATGGCTTGAAACTAGTCGAGTTCCTCGTCAAATTAGTATGTGAGTAAGCCGAAAACATAGGTAATAGTTTTATCATATTTGAACATAACATAACATCATCCCTTTTATCCCTGAAGAAGTAGGCAGACGTGCACATTACAGCACTTAATGCCTCTATACAATGTAACACACACTTTTCACTATTTATGTTATGAGTCTCATGTAATAGGGGGTGAGCCTAGTGCCATATACCAGGCGCAGTTCCAGACGCTGTGCAAGTACTGAGATTTTTTTTAAACCTAGTAATACTTTGCTGGACCTGGGAATCGAATACGAGGACCCCTTGCCCATCAGTGGTATTTGCAACAACTAGGCCAACGAGGCAGTCATATTTAATCCCAACATTAATAGCTACCAGAAAGTTAGGAAGTCGCAACTTAGGAGACATTAGGAAAGACTTGATAGTAAAAGCTGAAGGCCATCGTAGGCATAAAAACAAATATAAAAGCGTGCTCTGAATACTTTGAATGTCAGACATATTATATCAGTTTGATTGATGCGCGTTTTAATATCCTCACCACTTCTATGGCTAGGAACATAGGCATAAAGTCACAAATTCGTGCCAAAATTCCTACAATTTTCGATCTTGGTTCGAATCAACCCAGCACTTGATTCCATCCTCATCAATTTGTAAGAATATAGCCGTTGATCTCGAAGCCATTTATTTACATTAAGGAAGAGAAATATTTTATTCCAGACTTGACTTGTAGTAAAGAACCAAATGGTAAAGAAATAATAAAAGTCCTTTAGATAGAAAACCGTTGGGACATATGGAACATAAAGGATGGTGATTGATTGGAGTCCATTGAGGAGTGAGTTGTTGGAGTTCTCACATACTTTGTTAAGATACAGTTGTGGTAAAACGCGATCATAATTATTGATATAGCAACGTTCTTGCACATGCTTCCAGACCAATATAAAGATAAGGAAAGTAAAATTCAAAACGAAATACAATCTTAAACTTTTCTTCTTCAGATACGACGATAAAGGCTCACTAAAAATAGCTGCTAACTCACCAGAAATCCATGTTTTTAAGGTTTTACTTCATAATTACCAGAATAAGATTTTTAGTTCAATATCACATTAAGCTCTGAATCGTGTTCAATCTTGTTCGAACGTATCAACGTAGCGAGAGATACGCGTAATTTATTTAATGTGTTTGATTCGGTTCGGTCGAT